AGATTATTAATAAATATGTGGGGAATCGATTTATCGATAACGTTCTCGCATTTCGTGTATTTATATCTATTTCATTTTTTTTTCTTCAAATAATTGACAGCCAATCACTTCATATTGTTAATCTATGAAGGGAAAAAAGACGATTTATTTGTATAAATATGTACTTCTAACGTGAGTTGATGTCGGTGTTTGCGTGGAGAAGCGTAAATACTTCCACTAAACGCTGACAGTTTGTATTTCGATGTTTAAATAAATCAGCCACTATTTGCTAATGTATATTTATTTACGGGCAGAAATGATTTGTTCATATGATATATACAAATATTCTGGCAGCATAAAAAATACAAAAAGAAAATGAGGAAGTTATAAGAAGAGAGAAATAGAGAAGAATATAGAAAGACTCTATTTAAGAAGAGAGAAAGTAAGAAAAATGAAGAGAGCAAACAAGAAAGAAACAGATATGTAAAAAGAAATATTTTAAAATGAAATTAAAAAAAAAAACTAAAATATAGAAAGAAAAGCGAAAGAGACAAAAATGGAGAAAAGAAAAAAATATTTTAAAATGAAAGAAATCAAGAACGAATTTTCAAATCAAAATAAAATGCAAGCGAAAGATAGAAAAAAAAATACAGAAATGACAAAAATGGTAAAACGAAAAATATTTTGAAATGAAAATGAAAAGCAAGTGAAAAAGGCGGAAATAAGAAAAATATTTTATTTGAAAAAACAAAAAAACAAAGAAAGATTTTAAAATCATAAATCAAAAAGGCGAAAAGATAAAAAAAAAAAGAAAATAGAAAGAGACAAAAATCCGAAAAAAACAAAAATATTGTAAATGAAAAAAAAAAATTTTTTTTTTTTTTTTTTAAACATTACGCACCGACCAAGGCGCGAAGCCACTAGGATGCAGGGGGTTGCAGAAGATTTGGAGCGAGAGCAGATAGGAGTGATAGACGAAAGGATGAGGAGAAGGATAATGGGTAGATCGAGATAACTGGAGATGTCGATTGACATTACATTTGAATAGTTGGAGATTATAGCTCTCAGGGAAACAGTAATAGGGAAGGGTGTTCCGCAGGCGAGAGGTGCGAGGTATGAAGCTATTGGAGTAGAAGAGACGGCTATATTTAGTAGTTTCAACAGTGAAAGGGTGAGAGCGGGATGCCAGCCTCGTGGGGCGCTTGAATTCATGGAGTCTGGGGACCAGTGAAAGCAGCTCATCGGAGCAATTACCATGAAAGTATTTGTAAAAAAGACAGAGAGAGGCGACGGCGCGTCTGTGAGAGAGTGACTGTAGACGAGATGCCAGATCAGGGCCAACTATATTACATATCCGTCTCTGGATCTTGTCAAGAACTCCGAGGTAAACAGAAGGTGCACCAGACCATATATGGCAGCAATACTCCATGCAAGGGCGAATTGTTGATTTGTAGATCTGAAGGATCGATTCCGGGGGCGGCGCAGAGAGCTAACTTTCCTTGCGGTGGACGAAGCCATTGACTCAATGTACTTGTTCCATCTCAGGTCAGCATAGTTTAAAATCAAAATGAAAAAGAAACCGAAAATATAAAAATGAAATGACAAAAACATGAAGAAGAACAGCGGTCCAGAATAAATGAATACATTTTGGGAGAAATAACAAACATACAACATTTATCAAAACTACAAAGGACTGAAAATAGTGGAGACCCATGATCGCCTACGTTCTGAAGAAAAGCGAGACTAAGTAAATAGATAGTGTATAGTGTAGTCACTCATGGGGGTGCCAGGTTATTCCATTACATCAGGCACAAAATGAAGACAACATTGATTGACTGATTTCTTTGTTTAATGGCATATCAACTCCTAATAGTTTATTTCATGCCAAAATTTAATTTTCTTGAGAGCTTTGAAGTAATAAAAATCTGTGTTATTTTGCTTTCACAACTGAATACATGGTAGATGATATTCAGTTTTTATTCATTTCAGTAATTTCTTCCAAGACAAAAATACTACAAATATTTCCTTAGAGAATTATAATAAAACTTATGAAAATACGAATATTAAAACTTATATTTATGGATTAAATGACTTCTAGTATTAAATAAATTCAACAGCCATTATAATACTGGTAGATTTTGCCGCTGTACCGCTCCAGAAAGTGCCTGCCTACACATGTTATCCTCTACATTTAAAAGAGCCAGATCAGACCAAAAATGGCGTACTCTTGTCATATTTGGACGGGAGCTGCCCAGACCTCATTCTCCAGCCTTGCTAAAGTGCAAAAGCGTTTCCGAGCCGTTGTGGGTGAGAATTAATCGCCACACATCAACCTCTCTCTCACAGGCGGGATGTGGCAGCCCTCCCACAGCGCTACCGTTACTTCCGCGGAAAGTGCTCGGACGAATCACATTCCAGGCTCCCGCCAAGGCAACCTTTCACGACGGCAAGGACACGTCATGCCAGTTACATAATAGCAAACTTATTATATTCCTTCCGTATTCGATTAGTGATAGGTAAGTTCCATTCAAGCAGCAGCTTCTCGCGAACTTCTGCCCTGTGGAACCAATTCCCAACCGGATATTTCTCCGATCATTAAAAGGCTGTTAAGGGCCCGGGTTAACCGTTATCTTCCCACTTATACACACGAATGGCCTCAAAACATAACCCTTTACCTTGAGGGCCCCCGGGTTTTGAAGTAAGTGAACTTTAATGAAACAAAAAATGGTGCTTACTGTATACCTGGTCTTGCATATATATATATATATATATATATATATATATATATATATATATATATATATATATATATGCAAGACCAGGTATACAATGGGGGCTCTACAAATAGGTTTTATAGCCTTGGATGACCACTGGTCTAGGAGAAGGAAAACTCTGAATTCAAAACCTGCGGAGGGTCGTTTGGGAACCTTGTGGCACTTAGTGCACCAGGTCTCTGTATTCGTCCCTTAAAAAAGTGTGGATGATCCTGCACGAGGCCTTCACCACTATAATCAAATCTTATGTGTCGTTGTCGGGCTGTCGGTTTCCTGGAAACTGATATGCTTGACCCTCATATGTCGAAATCGACAGGAGAGTCGACTATATATATATATATATATATATATATATATATATATATATATATATATAATATAAAAAAATATAGTCTTAAGATGTGCTATATTTATGGGATAAAGTGCTCAATATCAGAGATAGAGCGTGCGTAAATATAAAAGTGAACATAGAAGTCAACACTTAGAGTCTGTTTCATGTGGCCTGACGATTTCATATAGCATGAAACAGACTGTCGCCTCTAAGTGTTGACTTCTATAATCACTATATATATATATATATATATATATATATATATATATATGTGTGTGTGTGTGTGCGTGCGTGTGTGTGTGTATAAAAATAAATAGAAAATAGGAAAGAACTGGTTAGGTAAATAATCCAAAAGTTCTTTAGTATTTTTATTATTATTTTAAAAAAATAGGAGCTCGATACAAAAGTAGAGCATAAATATAATTATTTATATTTTTAAATAAATAAATAATTATATATATATATATATATATATATATATATATATATATATATATATATATCTGTGTGTGTGTGTGTGTGTGTGGATTTTATAGATGTGACACAATAGACATGAGGTAGTGAGAATTGAATAATTTTTAAATATTAGAAATACACTGGTCAACACGGTTTCTTGTGCCAAGAAACAAAACACATCTTTACCAAATTTCTTGGTGCTTATTCCGAAAATGACCTTCGTTTTTAATGGTTAGCTACCATTTTTGCTGTACTGGAATTGCTCATTTTTTGGAAAAAAACTCAATTTAGGAGCTTGGCTAATCGTAAAATTTAGTCAAGAACGCCATCAGTTTTCAGTTAGGCTGGGCAATTTATGTCAGCCACCGGAAATAAACTATTTTTTATTGAAAAAAGTGTTTTTGAGTCAAAATTTTTAAAAATAGATATACCGAATTTTTCCAATTTATCGCCAAGATTCAAATAAATTGATAATTTTTATCAGTAATACACTTTTGTAAAACTGATAATTAAGTTGACATCAAAGAAATGAAACCTTAAAATCATCTAGTTGATATTCATAAATTTATCTCATCACTTTTATCCCTTCACTACTGAAGGAAACCAAGCACATTGAGAGTATTTTGTTTTCACAGTTAGAAAGAAACTTCAATTAAAGACATCCCAATTGAATGCATCAATTTACATGATACGGCTGGATTATCAAAATGGATTTAAATAATATTGAACATGTCAGACAATCAAGAAAGAGAAAAAGTTGACCATAGTTCTTATGTTCACGAAGGTTTTATTAGGTTGGTGCAAAAATAACGACGTAATAATGTCGTTTTTTTAACGTATTTTTAACGTCGAAAAACGACATTTTTACGTCATTATTTTTGCACCAACCTAATATTTCTGCTGTTAGTTTATTAAATGATTTGATGAAAATACTTGTTGATCTTGGTATATTAGATCGTGCTATTTGGGCTCTGGTTGTTATTGCAAAAATAGTATTTATCAATAATCAGACCAATATTTGTTGGTTTAAATACGAATTGTGAGGTTTGTACGATTTTATTTTGAGAAATATTGCCATCAGTCAATATCATATATACAGAAAAGAAATGAAAAAAAATGTTTTTTTTCTCAAAAATGAGGCATTTCTGTCCAGCAAAAACGGTAGCTAACCAAGAAAAAGTAAGGTCATTTTCAGATTCAGAACCGTCAATCTATTAGGTTGGTGCACAAATAATGACGTAATAATGTCGGGTTTTTTGACGTCAAAAAACGACATTATTACGTCACTATTTTTGAACCAACCTAATATCTGAACAAGATATTTGGCGCATCCATACCATTTCAATTTTTCTTTGTTTACCAGTGATATTGAATAATAGAGACGACAGAATAATAAAGATAAAATAAAAAAAAATAAATAGAAACTAACGAAAAAAAAAAAACATGAGATCAAAGCGGGCATACGACCACATCAGGTTGAAACACCTGTTCCCGTGCGATCACCGAAGTTAAGCAACATCGAGCCTGGTCAGTACCTAGATGGGTGAACGCTTGGAAATACTACGTGCTATAAGCTTGGATGTTCGGGTGGTGTAATGGATAAACGCTTGGAGAGCCGAATTCCAATTGGGTTGGTTACAGTTACTTACGTGCCAATACCCTTGGGAAATGTAATGAATCTATCTCTTCTCCCCAAGCTATGGATTAATTAGTAAAACTTGCATGACTAAAACCATTTTTATCTCCACAAATAAAATAAAATTACAGCCGAAATATTAGGTTGGTGCCAAAATAATGACGTCATAATGTCGTTTTTTGACGTTAAAAAATACGTCACAAAACGACATTATTACGTCAATATTTTTGCACCAACTGAATATTTAGATTATGGCATTAATATTGAGGTTGATATGCCGCTAAAGAAAAAGCAACCAAGATGCAAACAAAATATATTTTATTGATTACGACAAACATATGAATAACAAACACCTTAATAATAAACCTATCAATCTATCAACGGTTTAAACCACTTTTGAAAGCTTTGGTTTGGTTTGGTTTGTTTCCTCAATGGGTTATTTAATGTCGACAAACATTTTATTGCTGGTAATATTTTTTTTTAAATATGTATTTCTGGTAATATTTTTTCTTCAAAAATGTATAGCTGGCAATTTAAAAAAAAAATGTATCCCGGTATTATATAAAAAAAATGTATAACTGGTAATATTTAAAAAAAAATGTATTTCTGATAATATTTTTTCTTCAAAAATGTATAGCAGGTAATATTTATTTTTAAATATGTATTTCTGGTAATATTTTTTCTTCAAAAATGTATAGCTGGCAATATTTTTAAAAAATGTATCCCGGTATTATTTTTAAAAAAATGTATAACTGGTAATATTTAAAAAAAATGTATTTCTGATAATATTTTTTCTTCAAAAATGTATAGCAGGTAGGTTATATTTTAAAAAAATGTACCCCGGTAATATTTAAAAAAAATGTATAACTGGTAATATTTTAAAAAAAATGTCTTTCTGGTAATATTTTTTTTCTTCAAAAATGTATTCCTGGCAATATTTTTAAATGAATGTATAACTGGTAATATTTTTAAAAATGTATTTCTGATAATATTTTTTTTCAAAAATGTATTCCTGGCAATATTTTTAAAAGAATGTATAACTGGTAATATTTAAAAAAAATGTATTTCTGGTAATATTTTTTCTTCAAAAATGTATTGCTGGTAATTTTTTTTATTTTTAAAAAGTATAGCTGGTAATATTCTTAAAAAGATATATCGCTGATAATATTTTTTAAAAAGCTCTATTGATGGTAATATTTTTATTTCAAAACTGTACTGATTGTAAGATTTATATTTCAAAAATATATTGCTGGTATATAATTTTTTTTACAAAGTATTTCTGGTATTAAAACCTATTTTTAAACTTTCATAGTGTTTTGAACCCAAGTTTTTTGCTGGGGTAAACTATTTGCCCATAGCTCGGGCCCTGACAAGTGCAAACACCCCGCGTTAACCTGGGTGCATCAACAAATAAGAGGTAGTTTCACGCTCCTCAAAGCCTTCTCATCAGATGTCTTGCTGTCGGATGTAGTTTATCGTCATACCCAGGACACCTATAAGAGTTCTATTGAGGAAAACAATTATAACTTCCTCGTGACCTATTTCTTTACTTATGAAGTGGCCTACTTAATAAAATATAGGCCAATCGCAAGGTACGATTCGAGAGAGGTCCTTATCTTTTTACGAAGTTAGCGTAGCTGCTAAAAGGAGAGAACATAAGCGTTTTGATGATTCATCTGTTATATTCGGCTAACTGGTTGTTAAATCCAAAGTACTGGCCACATCCTGCCCTTCTTTTTCCGATTCCAGATCAGTTTTCTCGCCCCATTCCATGCCAGTCACGTTTAAGACTGATCATCTAGCTTTGTGGATTCGTCAGAGAAGAGCAACCCAATAATTTTATCCAAGAAGCGTGGCACATAACTTGGCCAGGCAAAAAGTGAAGAGGGCACTCAGAAAAACGAACACATAGCACTAATCAATGCATACATAGATACATGCGTACATATATATTCATTGATCAGTGCTCTCTCTCTCTCTCTCTATATATATATATATATATATATATATATATATATATATATATATATATATATATATATATAAAAGTGTGTATGTATATAAATATATATATATATATATATATATATATATATATATATATATATATATACACTTTATATATTATTCATATATTATATATGCATAGCACTTATTGGAAAGCGCTCAATATCAGTGATAGAGCTAACATATTTAGTTGCGTTGATGTGAGTTTGTGAACATGGGTTTCACGCTATATGAGATCGTCAGACAAAGCCTGACGTTGGCAAATAACGTGAAACCCAGGGTCCCAAACTCGCATCAATCATATATATATATATATATATATATATATATATATATATATATATATATATATATTCACTACCAACGGATTAATACACACACACACAACACACACACGCACACATATATATATATACATGTAACACACACATATATATATGCATGTAATACACACACAGACGCTGATCAATGAATATATATGTACAAATATATATATATATATATATATATATATATATATATATATATATATATATATATTTGTGTGTGTGTGTTTGTGCGTGTGTAGAAATACGTTGTGTTAATAGGATTCAATATCAACAGTTATTACACACACAAACGCATAATGAAATATATATATATATATATATATATATATATGTACATATATATTCATTGATCAGTGTGTGCGTGTATTACATGCATATATATGTGTGTGTGCGTGCGTATTACACGCATATATATATATATATATATATATATATATATATATGTGTGTGTGTGTGTGTGTGTGTGTGTGTGTGTGTGTGTGTGTTTGTGTGTAGTAATCCGTTGGTAGGAAATCCTATTAACACAATATGAAATTTTAAACATTAAATATTAAATGTTAAAACTGACTCTCAAAAAGCGCTCAATTTTTATTTTCTAAACAGACCAAAATATTTCATCCAATTGGAATTAAGTCATCACTAGTTAATGATCATTTTCCCCAGTGAAAATATCCATGTGATAAACCACGATACCCTGTCTAAGATTACCTCCTGAGACCCGGCACTACCTTCCCTCTCTCCTCCATTTTTCCCCTTTTTTTCCCGCTGACCATCTCTCATATTACCCTATTTCCAGTCTCTTCTTTCTACCCTCCTTGGTTTTTTCTTTCCTTTCCCCCACTCTTTCTGTCTTTTGTCGAATGTTGTCTTAATTCTAATTGTATGAAAGCATCACTACACTCATTAATTGTACGACTTTTAACCAATTGTTTCATACTACCCTGATGATGGCTTAAAAAAATCGATAGCTTGGAACATATTTATTGTACTTTTATTAAATGTACTCTGGATATTTTCTGCTAAAACTTTCTCCTCGTCTGAGAAAGACTATTCAAAATTTGGAAAGTGGATTTAAATTAATCGACAGTAAATGTCTGTTGATTTTAATAATAATAATACATACATATAAACAGACATACATACATATATACAAGTATATGATTGGGGTATACGGAATAAAATACAATAACCAACAATTATTATTCTTAAAAGAGCGCTCAATACAGAGTAGAGCGAATATAATTATTTATTTATAAAATCACTACAAAAACTAATTTCGATTTTGGTCCATCGTGCTGTTTTGATTTGTTCCCCTGAAATGTTAGATGGAGAATTTACTAAAATTCGAAATATTTTCGAAAGTAATGGATACCCCATCAATATTATCAGACGTGTGATCGATAACAAAATCAGACGGTTTATATATCTGTCATATTTGGTCCTAGTCAATGACCTGTTTATTTGAAGTTACCTTGGCTTGACAAGAAATGTCAGCTATTATCGGACAAAATTTCGTCGTCCATTTTATCCACATACAATGCTGTTAAGTTTCGCACGGTTTTCCATACGAGAACCCTGTTTCCTTCCTTTTCTAAAGATAGGCTGTCCTATTTTCATAAAAACTCTGTTGTTTATAAATTCAAATGCCGTTGCAAGGCGGTTTACATAGGACGTACTAATCTAAGGTTGGAAACGAGGGTGGCGCAGAATGTTCCTGCTTTTGTACGTTCAGACAGTCCCGGCCAGCCTATAAGAAGAACAACTCAGTCCATGAGACAACAATTGGGCAATATTTGCTGGACAATAACGCTTGTGCCGCTGAGTACGTAAACAAATGGTTTTCGGTATTACAGAGCGCTCGTTCTATACATCATCTGCGTGTTTCTGAAGCCGTTTACATTAAGTGTCAGCAGCCCAGTCTGTGCAAACAGAAGGAACACTTTTTACGTTCCTTACGTCTGTTGGAGGGTCTGTGAGTTCCCCACTTTTTCTATTTTATATAGACTTGTGGAACGATTTATTTACATCCCCACCTCATTTGATTTTAATTTATATAATTAAAATTTGTCTTTTAGTCGAGTTCAACCTTTCCCTCCTCAGTCATGTTATTGTCTTTGTATTCATTTATATTAAATATTGCCAACGAATATCTTAGACAAAGCATTGACTGAAAGATGCCTTAGATATGACGTCCACTTTCTTTAAAGATATATATATATATATATATATATATATATATATATATATATATATATATAGTGGAGTAATGGATAGAGACTTGAATTTACAAATCGGAGAGCCGAGTTTGAATTCCAGTTGGATCCATTACATTCACTTAAGTGCTAATACCCTTGGGAAAGGTATGGATCCTCTTCTTCTCCTTCCAGATATGGGTGAATAGCAGGACGGGCTGGGTTCTATAGCCTTGGATCGCAACTCTAGGAGGAAAAGTCTGAATTCAAAACATGCGAACTGCAACGTACTGCACCAAGTCTCTGCATTCGGCCCTTCCTAGGAACTGATCTGCTTGATTTCGACAGGAGAATCTAGTATATATATATATATATATATATATATATATATATATATATATATATATA